TCATATTCAAGTAAACAAGAACAATACTTTTTTTTTCATTTGCTAGTGGTATTCTGATGGTCCATAGGGGTGTCCACTATGCGTTAACGTAATATCTAAACTGTCAACTAACCGGCCGTCCCATATTCCATCCGGTATGAGCACTAACAATATCATCCCTTGATACCCAGTCCAGTATGAGAGTGACTCAGGTCGATCCCATATCCCGTCCGGTATGAGCACAAAAAATATCATCCCTCGATACTTCGTTCGGTACGAGGGTTCACGGTAAGATTTCATATTTACCCGCTCCATCTACTATCTCACAGGATATTCAGTAAGACAACAATTTATTATTCACATAACTAAGCAATTTTTCATTTACATCTCAATTTCAAATTTCATAAATCAACTATAAATCACGCAAGACAAGCGATACATGGATAAATGAAGCACAACTGAATCATTTAATCATTCCAATATATTATCATGTATTTTAAAGCTGTAAATTCAAATAATCAGTTAAACATGACAAATAAATAACTAACCAGTTCTGGCTCCATTAATGATCTGTAATTATTCTCAAAAATTTTTTAAATTTCACAAAATACCATATTATTGATTATTAAGCTTCAATTCCATAACAGAAAATAGGGTGAAGGATTCTTACCCGAATCGGTGTCCTAAATATCGAATTTTTTACTGTGTCTATTGGCGATCTCCAGGTTTCTTGAATTTTCATGCGGATATTAAAACACACTTCACGTACTTAAAAATACCCCAAAAACTCCAAAATTGGTGTTAAAAATCCTCTCCGACAAATTCAGAACTCCGGCATCGCCGTGCTTCAGCGACAGCACCACCGCCCGCAACGGTGGTTTGTCTCAGCCTGGCCATTTTTGACCAGTTTTGGCCAGTTTCGGCCGCCTTTATATACATCGCTGTGAAAAAATACATTAGGGGGTCTCGATTAGCAAAAAAATTAGAAAACAGAAACCCACTGGTGGTGGAGTTTTCTGGGTGCGGCAGCTCTAACGGCTCTCCTTTGCGGCTTGAATTTTTTCTTCGGTCAACCTGTAGAAAACAGAATG